TTAGCATTAAAAATAGCAGATGTACACATAACTCAGACTCAAATACCCATCACGTCTCATCCTCTGTTTGGCGTTAGCAGCAAAAGATGAAATTCTCTCGTTTAAGCTTTGGCCTGTGCTCAGGAAGAAAAACAAAGGTTTACAAAAGGCTCTAAACTGTGGCCTAGTTTTACTTCAGCCGTGTCAACGACCTGCTTGTCCTCACAGTATGTGAGTCAGTATGATAATATTGTGTCACATGGGTTGACCTTTACTGCCATACTGAAAATAAGCTGCAAGGTTTGATGCTGCAAAACTGAACAAAAAGGCAGTCATTGTGTACGCGGTATCAACTCCAAACAGTATTGCCTTTTCTGATCTTTGCTGAGCTTCTGATAAACTGTGAAACTCCAAAGCCGCTGGCGGTGAAACTCTTTCAGGGGCGACAGTATGACTACGCTGATCTGTATTAGCACTCGCATTACTTTATAGTATGATTTAATCATGAGTCAGCACAGCACAGAGCATCAAAGAAAAATATCATTTTCTCAGTCGAATAGAGTGACATAACACACAATGACTGTAAAACATTATGGCCACAGGTGACAGTAACCCAAACCCTCATCATAGAAAAAGAAAGTGAGTCAGTAGCATCTGATTACAATAAGTTTCAGGCAGACGGCTTCACGAGGGCTGGAGACTAAACTACCAAATAGGAAATGTAATAACACAGAGGGAATAAGGCTTAATGGAAATGTATTATTCAGACAGGAAGCATAACTATTGTGCTGCTTCTGAATAATACATCTCTGAAGGGGCATTAAAACCTCTAATATTTAGAATTTCCCACCAAGATACATGGAAGAATTATTTTTTCATTATGTTCCTAAAAACAACATGTCAGGATTGTCCAGAGTGTAACACACTAGATGGTTTCCATTTCCCGCTGAAAGCCATTTTTCTTTTAATAAACATAATTCCAAAAGTCTCATAGACCCTAAGAGGATTTTTATTTTAATGCAATTTATGATTTTACCTCAAATCTAATTAAAACATGACTTAAAAGCATGCGAAATGGCACAGAATGATTTTGTGTTGGTGATCCCAGAACACACGCTGAGAAGGATAAAAAGTATTGGTAGTAGGGGAGACCGGGGATAGTTGTAACATTTTTGACATTTCTGTCTGTAAATTGGAGCTCTTTTAAGGTAGTGGTTTCAAAATGTAATGCAAAGTATTTACATGTCTCGGCTATTAAATAGTGCAGCTATTTTCTCTGCAGCACAATTACCCACTGCATGGTATGGTCTCAAACACAAAGAGTGAAATGTTACAATTAACCCCATAGTCTGGGTTAGTTGTAACATATCCTGGGGTGAAATGTAACACAATGAAATAAGGGTACTAACAAAATATTAACATGTAATCTTTGTTTATTCAACACATGAATGCACTTAGAGCCATTAATGTAGCTGTGTGTGTGTGTGTGTGTGTGTGTGTGTGTGTGTGTGTGTGTGTGTGTGTGTGTGTGTGTGTGTGTGTGTGTGTGTGTGTGTGTGACAGAATGCAGAAATCTAGCTTTTGAACATATATTGAAGCTGAAAAAATGTAGTTGTTCACCAGCATCGCAATTCCATTACTTTTTATCCTGGCTTACCTTGGTGTGGTTTGCAAAGTGCCTCAGAAAGATGAGGAACTCTGTTTCTTGCACCCATCCTGATTTATTTCCACTACCAGCACTTCCTACTGGTCCATCTCTGACACAGAGGTCTGCATAATGTATGTGTGGGAACACAAACAGGCATTAACCGCATATACAAAAGCGACCAGTGAACCTCTCTCTGCTGATGTCGTTGCCCCAACTTGTTTAATATAAGTTAAAGTAATAGTGTGGTAAGTTGTAACATCTGCATTATTGTTACAACTAACCCAGACTGTTGCTGTTACAACTGACCCAGACTCCTATAGCCATGAACTAGCTAACATTACAGCCAACGGCTAAAACACTAGCACTAAAGACCTACACAGATTATATCCCCATAGACATACAAATAACATAATTTAGGTTTGATGAGTTTAACTGCAAAGCAGATAATGCTATTAGAAATTGAAATAAAGTAGAAAAACTTACTTTTTAGCATACAAATTACTTTTTTTCGTGTTAAATTGTCTGTGTTTGACGAAATGTGCTGATTTTTCACATGTGATAGCAGAACTGAATTAGGCATGCACAGGATGAGTCACATCATTTGAAACTTAGCCCTGATTGGAGAAATTGGAAGTGTTACAACTGACCCACGTTACAACTATCCCCGGTCTCCCCTACTTTATATTACAGCTCTAAAGTAATATGGTAATAGTGGGGTTATAATGTGGTTTAAAGACAGAGGCAATAACCATGTCATAACATTTACTTATCACACAATAATTAAGGCAAAAACAATGTGGAATACATTATTAATGTGGGCTTATTAACACATTAATGTCACATTTTATTACATGTTAAATTCAAACGACTACAAAGAAAATAAAATTTTATTGTATTACCAAAATATCTGATTTTGACTCCTTAGCATTTGTTTCTGCAGCCCATACTCATCGTTTTTAAGTGCAGTGAGTTTCTGTGCATTTTTAATCTGGCGTCCGCATATGTGGACATCACATCGCTACTGGCTGTTGCTCAGGTAGTAGCTCACCTACTAGCCGGAAGGTTGGTGGTTTGATCCCAGTCTGCTCCAGTCTGCATATCCAAATATCCAAGATACTAACCCCATGTTGCTCTCCAATGCATCCATCGGAGTGTGAATACATGTGTGAATGTTAGATAGGCAGCACTTATAAACAGCTTAAAAAGTGCTTGTGGGAATAAGTTCATGAACAAGTTGTTTAACCTCCTAGGACCTGCCGTCCACATATGTGGACATCACATTTTGGGTTGTCTAGACCAAAATACTCAATTCTGCTCTACAAGGGCCTGATGTCCACTTACGAAGACATTATACTGCCACTGTTCTACCAAAATTTAAAAGAAATGTGGATCTCATTTTTGTCAAAAACAAAAATCTGGTATTTCTTTGTTTTTATATTCATCAGGTCCCAATCAGCCCAAATAGCAAAGAGAAATTAAAAACGCCATGAAAGAGTTCGGGTCTTAGGAGGTTAACAGACACAGCTGTAGCTGGTGGACTGAGAGCGGCTAAAGAGTCGTGTATTTTCTTCAGGAGACAGTAAAGACTAAAAACAGAGTTAAAAGCGTTGCATTTGTCAGTGTGGCCATTATTAAAAATAATATTTTCTAAAATCGTTTTGTCAACTTGCTGAAATGGCAGAACGTTCTCAGACTGCTTCTCCTCCACAAAAGTGGGCATAAAATGCTGCTTTACCTTTTGGCCTAATGATTTCATTTCTTGAGCTAAACACTTTTAAAGGACATTGGTGTTCATGAAAAAATGTAGAGTAACAAAGCTGAAAGTTGACAAAATTTGTAATACTATACATTTCTTTGTGTATAGTCAAATTGTTTTGGGCCCCATTATTCAACATTTCTAAAACCCTGGCTGGCTACACCCTGCAAAGTCATCTGCACAGACCGACTGAGGATGAAATCACCATAAAGTCATCCAAACACAAAGTACTTTCCCAGCGTACCGGCAGCAACATCATTCATGCCACTCTCTTCCAGTAGATGCATCATCACATCAGCACATCAGGTCAGAGTTTTATTGACTGTCTCCTGGCTCTAACATCCCTGATGGACAGTTTTGCTGGAGTCTTATCCCTTGTTTACTCAGGACACAGCAGTCAGGGATACAATGAGTATTCTGGTAGTTGCTTTTTAAAATAAGTCCCAGGAATGCTGCTGGACAGCATGCTGGTTTTCAGAGGGATGACATGACTGTGTCTGATGTCATTCCCCTGGTCTTACCAGGCGACAGGGTGACTCCAGCCCGAGTAAACTAAGCAGCCCGCAGTTAAATATGGAGCTCCAAAACAGGAGCTTGTAGCAAGTTAATTCCCTCATCCTTAAACATTAATTTTCCCTTATACCAGACATGTGACATGAACATTACATTTATTTATCAGTAAATTTCAGAGGAAGATATTACCTCAAACGCTGCTATATTTATTTTACAGCTATAGTTCAACTGTTGGTTAAGATTTGGAATACATGTGTATTCTTCTCTGTTAGGATCTTATAAAATACAGAGTGCTGTGATATATGTAATTATTTTATATGCATGATTTTTCTTGCAATTCTGCAACTTTACTTCTTAGCTTCTGAATCTCACCAGATAGTGTGTGCTGTATTAATCTAAGAAGAGACTGTTTGACAAAAAGCAGCACCAAATTCATGACTAAAAGAAAATACACCACCAAATCAGATGGAACAGATCTCGTCAATATTAACCACAAAGCATCCAGACAGCTAAACTTGGGCAGCCTTTTATTCGCGGTCCTGTCGTAAACATGTCCAAAGATTTGCACGCAGGCTTGTTGTTATCATTTATTCATGACTTGCTGAAGGATTGGAACAGGACTCGTGAGTGTTCCGGTCACACTGGAAGACTCATCAAAACAGCTGCCGGCAAACAGCAGATCAGAGAGCAAACACACATGAACAGCTTAACTTTGGGTTCACAGGCACAACCAGACAGACTGAAGACTCCTCACTCTATACTTCATGGGACATGAGTTCCTCCAAGAGAATGACTTAAAAACACTCTTCTACCTTTTAGAGAAATCAGATCCTCACTTCTGATTCAGGAAGCTTGCTCTCATCCACTTTCCTCTCAGTGCAGACGCTGCACATAAGCAACTACTGCAGCAAAGCAGTGATTTGACAAATTGATGCAGTGCAGAAATGCTGGCTGTGTTGGCATTAGCATTTTAGATCCCTAAGAATGAACTCACGATGAGCTTTTGTATGAGAAGCAGGTGCGCACACAAGACATCACATATTTGACCTGAGTCAGAAACACACAGGACACACAGGATGAGCTCAGTGCCGCATTCACACTCACCAGCTCTGAGGGTCTGGATTACGCTGCTGGTGAAGCGCAAGAGAGAAGCCAAAGAAGGTGCCAGGGTCTCCCAACTTATGCAGTGTGTGAGTAGTATCCAAGTTAAAGCCCCAGACTTGAGTCGAAAGGGTCAACACACCCAAAATAAAGGTAGTCCACAGTTTAGAGGAATCAGATGAGAGGGGACAAGGGTTCCCATGTCCCACCAGGGCTGCCATAGTGGGGTGCAGGTCTTCTGGCAAAGCAAGTTCAACTCAAGAAGAGCACAGAGGAGATTCCTTTTGTGGGTCCCAGAGAGCCAAAGGGCAGTAAGGGGAAACCCTGCGTGAGCCTCCTCTGCTTTGCTCTCCTCTCTGGATGCCTGCCTTGTTTCCCTCGCTCTATTGCGCTGCCTCTCAACTCCGTTTGCTGCTGTCAGTCTGAAGAGCAGCCTGTGAAAATGCGGCTGCTACTACTATGTGTGCAAGTGTGCTTCCCTCAATGCATGTGCGCCTCCCCCTCCTCTGTGCTCAGAGGGAGACAGAGGACAAGTGCCTTGAATAGCCCGCTCACTCCTCCCCCTCCTCTCTCTCTCTCAGGCCTTCATCCCCTCCTCCCTCCCTTCCTCCCTCCCTCCCTCCTTTTCTCCCCTCTCTCAGCTGACATCAACACTCAAGGGACTTGTGCCAAAATACCAGGCAAGGTTGTCCGGATACTTGGAGGCCATTGAACAGAGCGAGAGCGGGTGAAAAGACAGCAGACTGTTTTATCTGTTGAGTTCACACGCTCCAAAGCGCCTCCCTCTGTGACCACCTGTTGCTGCAGGTGCATGTACATCGGAGTAATGCATACAAGAAACTCAATGTTCTTTTAGCTTTAAAGTCCCGACATCTCTGGAACGTATCTGGAGGACAAAAGGGGCAGAAATGTGCACAGTGACCCAGGAAACTTTATTTCAGGCCTTTAGCTCTCCTGAAAAGACAGAGTGGAATAATGTATGCACTGTGACTAAGCAGTGCCAACAGGGACATAATCTAACAAAGTGGGACTACACCCACACAAATTTCTGTTTCTCTGAGGTCAAATCTGCGCGCAGCTGTCAGCGTGTCACCTCAACTGTCCACACAATAAACGTCACGCAAACAGTTGCACATTAATTACACAAACAGGTGGCATTCTTGGAATGAGTTTACAGGTTTTTAGGACCTGTTTCCCCGTGGGGGGAGGGGGGGGTTCTGTCGGGATGGGTTCGTTCAGATTTGATTGTAAAAGGTGACGACGCATTAATGTGGGTTGAGGAGGATTTTCAAAGTTTCCATTTTTGACGCAATACTTTTTTTTTTATGTGGACAGAAAGCTAAATATCAACATGATTAATATACATTTTGGATATATTCAAGTTAACACATACAGTGTACAGAAGAGTGTAACTTTTTACAAGGATCAGTGATTGAGCTGCAATCAAATACACTAAAAGGAAAAAGGAAGAAAAAAGGCAACTCTTTCAGTTTTAAAGCTTAAATCCAGAATAAAGTAATTATAAAACAGCTCCTTTTTATAATTAAGAGTTTTATCTCATTTTGATCAAATATCATCCTGCTGATTAAACTAGTTGGTCAGTGTGACTTCAACTTTGAAACAAGCTTAGGATTAGCATCTGTGGTAGTGTTATCAGTGTCTACATACACCAGCTTCCAGCAGGATGAGGCTCAGTTCTTCTCATGTGACCTGCTGGCATCATGAACCAGCTTCATGAACCTGCTGTTAAACTTTCTCTGCCCCCTGCTGCCCTTATGAGGGATTTAAAAATGATCCCATGTATGAGCACATTTAGCCCTAAAAAGATGTTTATACCTGAGTTTTTGTAGACATTTTTAAACATCTTCAACAACTTTTCACAGATGCTTTAATTTATTTTTTAAAGGAACTTTAAAACCCATTTCTGTGGCAAGACTAATGGAAGCACAATTGTGTGAGGTCAGTATTTTTTAAATAGACTTAGGATCTATTTTAATATTCCCCTTTGGAAATATTTCACAGTGAATCGCGGCTAACAGCATCAGAGATGTCCTCAATCAGCCTGAGGAGACGTGCAGGCCAAGGATGAATTTGCTGTTTCAGAGATATCTGGAGAATGTTTGTAGCTCAGTTACTTAAAATATTCGTCCCTCTTCTGATCTTTACAGGGATGAACAGACAGAGGCTTTCAGAGGCAAGTGCTGTTTCAGTCAATACATCCCCTCTAGATCAGAAAATAAGACATAAACATGCCTTTTGCATGATAGATTAAAGAAACCATGTTGGTACGACAAAGATAAATACAACAAGTATTCCTGTATAACAACTACTACTTGGTCATTATAACTTGAGGGTTACACATAGTAACTGCTTTTCATTTAATCTAATCCTGGATGAACAGTTATCGATACCACACACTGAATATGCTCTGTTGTTGCTAGCAGCAGCATGCTAACATGCTCATGTTTACCAGGTATAACCTCGACTCTGCTCACCATAGACCACCTTCATTTTTTTTAGCATGACAACATTTTATTTTTTTTTTTTTAATTAAATAGTAAAGTATATATGTTTTGTGTATTTAGTCAAAAGGATCAAGAAGCAAGAAATACCTTTCATAAATTCAGAAGTTTATCTGGATCTGAACAGTTGATGATGATGTTTCCTCATTTTTGGTTCCGTTCTCTTTGTACACATGTGACATTAACTTTGATTTAAAAACATGGAGGCTGTTGTGGCTCTTTGTGTTTCCATTTGGAAAAGTTCGGTGTCTGTTTGAAGCACCTTGGCCACAGCGAGAGCCGGCACTGGGGAGTTTGTGCTTTTGTCAGCCGGAGCTCCCACACACAGCTCACTGGTTCACTGCAGAGTCCCAGATATTATCTAACACCAGATCAAAAAGGTGGTTTTATATTCAATGAAGCAGTGTTCCTTCTGTCTATTATGTGAGAGATGAGCTGCTTCATTTTGAGATAAAAAATACCAGAAGAACTTAGAAGAGAAGGAAAAATGTGGGTGTGGGATGTGGAGAAAATGCTGAAATATCTTAAAGGCAGCTCGGGCGGGAGGCCAGACAAGAATGCCTTTTGACAGAACAAAGCATAATCAGAGGCTGAGATAGAAGAAAGTGGAAAAAAGAAGAAGAAAGAGACGAGGAGAAAGAAATCAGTGAAGCTGGCTGTAAAGATTATCTGCCACACTATCCATGACACTGGCATTCCCACTTAAGTGCTCATTAGCAGTCTGAGCCACGCTCCAAGGAGAGAGCTTATTTTAGACAGTAGACTGCAGCAGCAGTGCACACAGTCAGGGTCATTTCTCCCGTTTTAGTCCCACATTGCTTCAATGGCTGAGATTGCTGCAGTCAGCACTATTACTGTATTGATTTATGGACAGTGTAAGATGCTATAAGAGGGAGTTGGTGCTGGTTATTATGGGATTAAAACCAAGCATGCCCATTCTGGCTATATCTGTCTGAGTGCACTTTGGGAAGGCTTTTCTCGTACTGGTGAAAACATGTAATCACACGTTTATGGATGTAAAAACTAAACTTCATTCATTCATTCATTCATTCAAGTAAGATGTTTTATTAAGCCTTATTTCTTTCGTATATATATATATATAGCACCGTACTAGCCAGAAGTATATAATGATGGTAAAACATCATTATATACTTCTGGCTAGTACGGTGCTGGACTAGCTTTTGCCTTAAGAACTCTTCATGGCATAGATTTAAAAAGCACTGGAGACTCAGGTCCGTATTGACATGACAGAATCACAGAGTTGAGTTGCTGCAGATTTGTGTTCATCCATGATGTAAATCTTCCACCACTTCCCAAAGGTGCTCTGTGGAGACCATTCATATTTAAGAAACCAGTTTTGCATGATGTGAGTTTTGTCACATCATCAGGTTGTCAACAGCTGTTGAACCGGTGTGCCTGGCTCATTAAAAGGGTTATATATGTTTTGTGCTTTTTACAGTGGTTTTGTAAAGGTGATAATAATAGTTATAACTCTTCAGAAATGAATTGAATTTGTATGCTTTTGTACAAACTTGATTTTTAATCACATCTTTAGTGTTGAATAGACTCTTGTCCAGGAGGTTATGTTATTATAATAGGTTATATTATTATTATTATTATTATTATTATTATTATTATTATTATTATTATTATTATTATTATATAATATATATTACTGCTTCTGTTTGAGCCACAGAAAAATGTTGTTTGAACCACAGTTCACTAACAGTCATGGCAGTAAAAGCACCAGCGAGAAAAATCAAATTTACCCCAGATGTAAAATTGAGACATAAATGTTTGGCTCAGCTCTAGAATAACGAACAACAAAAAATCTACTGAATGTGAAAAAGTATCAGAGCAAAGGTCCCAGACAGAGCTAATACAGAAATGACACCAGTGCAAAGTTCATTCCCAGAATTCCCTTATCTGGATTCACTTACCCAATCAGGCTAAGTGGTCACGGCGAGCTTTTAATCAACTTGCCGGTGTTTAATTTATGTTACCACAGTCGTGTCTGTACAGAGAGAGGTCGACTCACTCACCGCAAACATCATCCCATGTAAAATCTCAGCTGTACATTGCTCGACATGGATGATGCTGTGAATCAGTCGAATGCTGATCTATTGACAGATCAGAGCAGAAAAACGAGCAACAGCAGAATTCACCATTTATAGGAGAAATTAAAAAAAGAAAAGTAAAGTCTGAATATTTCTCATTAGTTTTAACTTTTGGTTTCACTTCAGCTCTTCTCCACAGTTGACGGTTCAACAACAACACAAGAAAAAGTAACCCACAGACTAGTTGTACTACATATTATTGACACCGCACCCGTGTGACAGCAGATGCTCTCTGCAGATAGACGGGTCGCCTGAAGCTGCCACAGACTGCCAACCGTCCTCTCGTTATTTCACCAAACCAATGAGTCCCATTAGTCAGGTGCAGTTTTATGGACCCGTTAAAAAAATGTAAATGTTATATTTTCTTCATTTACTGCTAAATGAACAACACAAAAATCAGTGCCCATAATTTACATTGTAAATGGAATATTTATTTAATCATCTGGACAGAGAAAAACATGTAGCTCAATCACAACACATCACAATATAATATACAGAAGTTGTTTTTTTATTATATCTTTCACAATAAATCATACAAACCCATTTAAACTAAAACAAAACTAAATAAAACTCATCAAAAGAGCTGAGACTGTACATCTACCAGTCACCACTTCAACATTGCTTCCCCGGATAAATAGCAATACATCCAAAGAGGACATGACTTTGTAAGCAGCTGTTAACTTTGTTCACAATGATTATCTGCTCATGGTGAGGTATTATACTCTCTTACGAACTCTACCCTCTTAGCATTAGCACAGTCACGCGTAAATATTTCTGAACTCTGTGTTATCGTGTATCTTGTAACATGAAGTCCCTTTTTAGACGTATATAGATGAGTTCTTTTGGATCTTAGCCTTTTA